TTCCTTAAACACATGTATAAACAGCATACACTCGCCTAAAGGATTATTAGGAACACCTGTTCAACTTCTTAATGCAATTATCTAATCAACCAATCACATGGCAATTGCTTCAGTGCATTTAGGGGTGTGGTCCTGGTCAAGACAATCTCCTGAACTCCAAACTGAAGGTCAGAATGAGAAAAAAGGTGATTAAGGCCTAGTCCACACGTAGCCGGGGTTTTTTGAAAACGAATATCCGCCCCTCCAAAAACTTGCATCCACACCACCGCGTTTTAAAAACAAACTCTGTCCACACATACCCGGATAAATACGTTGTTATGGACATGCCAGACCTGTAGGCGGCAGTAATTCCCCGTTCCTAACCTCGTCCTTCGTCTGTGGTCTTCCGCAAGGAGCAGTAATTCCGCTTGCAAAAACAAACAAGCAGAAAGCGCTTGGACAATTGATGGATCGGGTAGTGACAGAGCGCAGCTCTGAGGGCTTCCATGATGCCGGCTAGTGTAAACACAGGTCGCACACGTGATGTCAGCATTTCTTGTCGTGGAAAGTGACGTTGCGGACCTTAAAACTCCGGTTTTGTCTGTCTACACGCAGACACCCAAAACGGAGAAAACGCAGATCTTCACTTTGGCCGGAGTTTTTAAAAAGATCCGTTTTCGTGTGAAAAAACTCCGTTTTCGTGTGGATGACAGGCCAAAACGTAGAAAAATATCTACGTTTTGGCAGATCCCCGGCTACATGTGGACAGGGCCTTAAGCTATTTTGGGCGTGGCATAGTTGTTGGTGCCAGACGGGCCAGTCTGAGTATTTCACAATCTCCTCAGTTACTGGGATTTTCACCCACAACCATTTCTAGGGTTTACAAAGAATGGTGTGAAAAGGGAAAAACATCCAGTATGCGGCAGTCCTGTGGGCCACAATGTCTTGTTGATGCTAGAGGTCAGAGGAGAATGGGCCGACTGATTCAAGCTGATTGAAGAGCAAGTTTGACTGAAATAAGCACTTGTTACAACCAAGGAATGCAGCACAGCATTTGTGAAGCCGCACCCTAACCCTTGAGGCGGATGGGCTACAACAGAAGAAGACTCCACTGGGTACCTCTCGTCTCCACCACAAATAGGAAAAAGAGGCTACAGTTTGCATGAGCTCACCAAAATTTGACAGTTGAAGACTGGAAAATGTAGCCTGGTCTGATGAGTCTAAATTTCTATTGAGACATTCAAATGGTAGAGTCAGAATTTGGCGTAAACAGATTGAGAACATGGATCCATCATGCCTTGTTACCACTGTGCAGGCTGGTGGTGGTGGAGGTGTAATTGTGTGGGGGTGTTTACTTGGCACACTTTAGGCCCCTTAGTGCCTACTGGGCATGGTTTAAATGCCACGGGCTACCTGAGCATTGTTTCTGACCATGTCCATCCCTTCATGACCACCATGTACCCATCCTCTGGTGGCTATTTCCAGCAGGATAATGCACCATGTCATAAAGCTCCAATCATTTCTAATTGGTTTCTTGAACATGACGATGAGTTCACTGAACTACAGTGGCCCCCACAGTCACCAGACCTCAACCCCATAGAGCATCTTTGGGATGTGGTGGAACGGGAGCTTTGTGCCCTGGATGTGCATCCCACACATCTCCATCAACTGCAAGATGCTATCTTATCAATGTGGGCCAACATTTCTAAAGAATGCTTTCAGCACCTTGTTGAACCAATGCCACGCAGAATTAAGGCAGTTCTGAAGGCGGAAGGGGGTCAAACACCATATTAGTATGGTGTTCCTAATCATCATTTAGGTGAGTGTAGAAATGTATAATAAGGCTTGTTACATTATTTTTTAATGTCCCTATAATTTCCCTTATTCCCTTGTCATTTATGCTAGGTTGTCACTTTCCCCCATTTTTAGTCCTTTTATGCTTTCTTTATATATGCTTAATAAAACATCCATCCATTTTCTGAACCCGCTTGACCATGCACGATCGCAGGGCCCGGGGCTGGTGCCTATCTCCAGCAGTCAACGGGCAAGCAGGTGGGGTACACCTTGGACAGACTGCCAGTCCATCGAGGTGTCCTTGGGAGGAAGCCAGAGTACCCAGAGAGAACCCATGCATGCACAGGGGAGAACATGCAAACTCCTTGCAGAAAGACCAAGAACCTTCTTGCTGCAAGGCAACCGCACTAGCCACTGTGCAGCCCACTTAATAATACAATTTATTATATTTCCACTTATCTAAGATCAAACCTCCATGCTCTTTGTAATAATCCCCTAAAGGGAAACCGCATCCCCACATAAAACAAATAAGCAAAACCAAAAGAGAACATAAGACATCCAATCAGTCTGTAGTGTCACCTCCGTCCTAGTCAGACCTCTGAGGAAGAGGTCTGAAAAAAAGGGTCACTTCAGAATGGAAAATGCACGTCTGATCCAGGTGTGAAACCAAATTCCGGTCCAGTATCCAACCGTACTGACCCTAATGTGTAAGCGCCATTGGAGACCTGGCCACCTTCCAGCGCCTCATGGACATTGTACTGCGACCTCACGCTGCATATGCTACCACTTATTTGGATGATGTGATCATCCATAGCAACACCCGGGCAGAGCATGTGTGGCAGGTCGCTGCTATGCTGGGGGCGATGAGGCAGGCCATGTTGACTGCCAGCCCTGTAAAGTGCATGGTCAGACAGCGGGAGGTGAGGTACCTGGGGTACCTCCTGGGGAGCGGGCAAGTGCAGCCCAAGGTGGACAAGACTGAGGCAATTATGGCCAGCCTGCCCCCCACACTGACCATTCCCCTCACTGACCCAACCTCCTGGACTTCGGCCTGACAGCAGGCCTTTGATCGGATCAAGGACGCCCTCTGTTCTGCAACATTGTAATTCATGCTTGACATCTTTCTCCCCTTTACCCTACAGACGTATGCCTCGGACAGAGGAGTGGGGGCAGTTGTGTCACAGCAGGTCTGGGGGGCCAACTGCCTGGTGCTGTACCTCAGCAGGAAGCTGTTGGAAAGGGTATCAAGGAAGAGCACCATCAAGAATGTTTGGCCATCAGGTTGATTGTCAATGCACTCCGGTTTTATCTCCTGGGAATCTGGCCCTTCGCCCCCTGTTCTTTTTTTTGTTTGTTTGTTTATTTGAATTAGACAGTACATGTTAATGAACAACACATGATGTATGTGTTTGTAAAATGTAAATTTTTAATTTTCACATAAAATTTATACACAAAGTTCATTAAAAGGCTAAAATTATCTGCTATTCATTCTACTGGATGAATAATAAAAAAACAGTCAAACAAATAAAACAAAACCTACATAAAAACACACTAATAAAAAACAGCCTAGTGACATAAGATTTGCTACCTAGCTACATAGAAGAAAGAAAACGGGGAAAAAAAAGAAAACATATTTTATAGACAAAAATAAGACCAATAAAAAAAGCAAAGACAATGAAGACAAGTCCACTTGTGTTCACTGCTGCAGTGGCTCCACCAGATGAAGGACACCAAAACCCGGATCACCCATTGGTACTTGGCTCTTCAGCCCTTCAACTTCAAGGGGTGTTTCTCCATGTCAAGGCGCCTGGCCTTGCAAGACATCGCCTTGCAAGACATCGCCTTGCAAGGCCAGGCGCCTTGCTTAGACACTGTCCTTCTTTGGTCAAAGAAACGGTCAAATTGAACAGACTTACATCACTTGACCGTGACGGTCACGTCACATGACGCGTGAGAAAACGTTATATTTTATACATATAAGTTTCAATATAATCCTCAAGTGGAGGAGTTTAAGTATCTCTGGGTCTTGTTCACGAGTGAGGGTAGGAGGGATCGGAGATCGACAGGAGGATTGGTTCGGCGTCTGCAGTGATGCGGACGCTGAGCCGATCTGTCGTGGGGAAGAGGGAGCTGAGCCAGAAAGCCAGGCTCTCGAATTACCGGTCGATCTACGTCCCAATCCTCACCTATGGTCATGAGCTTTGGGTAATGACCGAAAAAACAAGATCGCGGACACAAGCGGCCGAAATGAGTTTCCTCAGTAGGGTGGCCGGGCTCAGCCTTAGAGATAGGGTGAGGAGCTCGGACATTCGGGAGGGACTCAGAGTAGAACCGCTGCTCCTCCGGATCGAAAGGAGTCAGTTGAGGTGGTTTGGGCATCTGGTCAGGATGCCTCCTGGACACCTCCCCGGGGAGGTGTTTCGGGCATGTCCTGCCGGCAGGAGGCCCCCGGGTCGACCCAGGACGCGTTGGAGGGGTTACATCTCCAATCTGGTCCGGGAACGCCTTGGAGTCCTGCCGGAGGAGCTGGTGGAGGTGGCCGGGGAGAGGACGGTCTGGAGCTCCCTAGTTGGGATGCTGCCCCCGCGACCCAGACCCGGATAAGCGGAGGAAGACGACGACGATATCTGTGAATTTTAAAAATACATTTTGATACCAAGAAACGGCAGCTAAAATTATTCTAGGTTTTGAGTGAAAATACGTGTAGAACTACAAATGTGTTGACGTCATTGAACCAGACACGGAGGAGAGCTGAGGGAAAATGGCTTTACGTTTAGCGAGCTTTGAATCTTCCTTCAGGAGGAAAGAACCACAATAAATCTTGCCACGTGGAAAGTAGCTGCTTTGTTGGTGGAGATGAGATTCGTGCCGACATATAATTTGTATGGTATTTACACATTTTTACAAGCTGATAAATCTCAAAGTACATGACAGACATGATCAAAACACATATTACTTTTCATTTAAATTGAAGTACAACATGTGCGATCCAAGGAAAAATGCAAAGTGGATAAGAAAATAGCTCTTTTAGACCCATTGACTTGCATTCATGTTATCTTTCTTCCGGGGACCTATGAGCCGACCGGAAAGGGAGGAGAATTGTGCTCCTATTAATCATTAAACCTTTTATTTTGAAATCAAGCACCTTACATCCGGTTTCGGCCTCCGTCCTCCCTTACCTTCGCCATCTTGACTAACTGCCTGCTGAGCATCAAAAGGTCCGTCAAAGCGCTCCAGCAGCCGTTGACCTTCCGTCCTCTTCTCGCCCTGGTGGAAACATGGCCCTGAGCCGCCTGCAGAAGGCTCAGATATGGTTCTTCAAAGCCTTCGTGGGTTTTCTCTTCAAGCTTTTTCAGCTCTTCTCTCGGAGACCGGCTGCTACCAAGAGGCTGCCGCCCGTCAGCAACCCGCTGCTGCTGCTGTCAGCGACGCAGCTCGCGAAGAAGATCCGGCGCAAAGAGGTGTGTGTGCCTAGAAAAAAAGCAAGTTTAGCTAGTCGAGCTGTCCGGAAGACACTTCTTATGCTGGTGTTTACTTACATGTGCCTCACATTACTAATGTGTTTTATTATTAATGAGGCGGAAACCCTGTTCCTGTCCACAGGAATGTTATCAATTCAGTTGCCGCAAGGTCTTCAGGTGTGGCTGTTACACCTGTTGAATGACACCCTTGTTCCCACGTGGATCCTCAATGAAAACAACCGTTAAAACAGAAAACAGTGTTCATGTTAACAGAAGAGATCAGATTCATCCCGACGCAGAAATGTCAGAAAAGTTTAAGATGAGGTGGTGACAATAATAAAATAAGATCCTGTGAGGACTTTCTGATGTAGAAAGGATTTTTCTGATTTTACTTAATAAACTATAACAGTTAAACGGTTAAATTATGTTATCCTGGGGACAAAATGTCCCTTAATCCCTTGTGTTTTAGTGCGTTATTTATTCCTTATGTTCCATTGTCATTTATGCTAGATTGTCATTTCCCCATATTTTTTACTACACATTTTATTTTTCCACTTATCTGAGATCAAACCTCCCCGCTCTCCGTAATAACCCCCTATAACTAAACAACCCCACATAAAACGAACCAAACCGAAATAACACATGAGAGAAGAGATCCTGTCCAAAGGGGTCAGGGCTCTGCCATTATTTGCATTATTGGTTTCCACCTTGCTTCAAAAACATCCGCTTTTCTTTGTAATTTTGCTGTCATCTTCTCTATAATATAGACTTTATTCATTAATTAATAAATAATTAAAACAGAAAAGTTTCATCCCTAATCCTCTAATATTGTTACAACATCTAATTTCAAAGGAAGCTGGAAAAAAATCCTTCTCTTTGAAGTAAAAATAAACACTAATTTAGCTTTTACGTGTTTTTTTATTCCCCATTGTAACTAATTCTGGTGTGATCCAAAACGTTTGTGTTTCTACAGGTTTCCAGTGTGGAGGTGGTGCAGGCCTACATAGACCGGATCCAAGAGGTTAACCCCTTCCTGAATGCTGTTGTGAAAGACAGGCAAGAAATCTCAGCTGATGCTGTACTTCTGTTTCCTCTTCTTAGCCTAGAAAATATACTATTCTGTCCTAGTTATCAGTTTCCACTGAACTCGTTTGAATAAAAATCAAACTGAATGTGTGTGTGTGTGTGTTTATTTTTTTTTTGTCCAGGTTTGCCGCTGCCCTCCAGGAAGCTGCTCAGGTGGATAAGCTGATTGAGGAGGAGACTGGAGGAGAGGAGGTGCTGGAGGACCGGCTGCCTTTACTGGGTGTCCCCCTGTCTGTCAAAGAGTCCTTCTCCCTCCAGGGTAATTTCCTGAAACCTAATTCCCTTGCTGTACCTTTGGCATGATGAGTTTAAAAACCAACATCTGGTACTGCCAGCCTACTTCCACACCCAAACATCAGCATCAGACTTTACTCTATCTGTTCGGTTTGTGTCCATGTGTGCAGGCATGCCCCACACCGCTGGTCTGGTCTCCAGGAGACGAATCATAGCTTCCGTCGATGCACCACTTGTGGTCCTCCTAAAGAGAGCGGGTGCCATCCCACTGGGGGTGACCAACACCAGCGAGCTGTGCATGTGGTTCGAGTCCCACAACCATCTCTACGGGATTACCAAGAACCCATACGACCTGGAGAGGATACCAGGAGGAAGCTCAGGTTAACTGCTGCTCCTATGCATAAACCCTGATATTGGATGCTACCATTAACAAATGGTGTAGCTTTGATTTGGCTTCGAATCTTTTTATCCTGCTGTTTCTCAGGAGGGGAGGGCAGCATACTTGGAGGAGCAGGAGCTGTGATTGGCGTGGGCTCAGACATCGGCGGCAGCATCCGGATACCATGTTTCTTCAACGGGATATTTGGCCACAAAACCACTCCAGGTTGGGCGCTTTCTGCCTCACGCTCAATCATCGATTTAGTCATTTTTAATGTATGCATGACGATGAGTAAAGTAAATCGAAAAGGAATCGTTATCGAAATTTCTGACTCTTATCGTGATCAATTTTCCCATGTCAAAAAATTAGATAATACAAAAATGAAAAGATGTGTGTAGGCTGGCTACGTTGATGTCCCTTTAAGAAGCTGTAGCTCCTTGAGTCACGTAAAACTATGGCCGTGTTCGAGTTGAGCTGCGCCTCGCCTGGAAAACAGACGAGAGCAGACGGAAGCAGCCGGGGGAGTGGCTGAAAGCCGGCGTTTAAGTCGGACAGATTTCCCTACATGTATAGCTCGGGGGTGACGATAGCTGAAGATATCCTGTTAGAGTTCATACTTGTTTAATTATTTATTTTAATTCTGGTGCCTGTTAGCAGCTGAAACACATCCTCACGTGCTTGTGGATATCATATATTCTATATGAAAACATGACTGTAATAATAAGTAAAGGTTATCCGCTGTAGGTTTAGTGTGCTCATAGGAAACGTGACAAAAGAATACAAAACACATTTCTCTTTATGGCCTATATAGTTGCCATCATCAACGTTACATGATTTACAGAATACATGTGACCAACTAACATTTCATGTTCTATCACCGGATGTTCGGATCAAAATATGAACCAATCAGATCTTAGATCAGGTGAGAGCCAGGCGTTTCCCATCATCCTCTAGGTTTTGTAGCTGAGGGAGAGCAACTGCAGTGCCTTGCTCCAAAATCTGCGGCCGCCTTGATCTCACGAGGTTATCGTTGCCTACGTATGCATGACGTCAGAGCAAGTCGGCGTCAAGTCGGACACAAATCTAACCGGCATGCACTGCTCGCCGATCACCGCTGGTCTAATCTGCGCAGAACTGGCTCATCTCGAACACGGCCTATGACTCAACGTAACATGTGACAGCCCCATCTAGTGGGCAACTTTTGTTTCTGCGCATGCCTGCCGTTATCGTCCATTTATCATTATCAAGGAGAAATCCTCAATATATCGTGATATTGATTTTACGCCATATCGCCCAGCCCTACGATGAGTTTAGTGCACTGGGCTAAAAGTATTTTCCTGCTACAGAACTAAACAGTCTAGTCATCTTAAAAACACTAAATATGTTTTCCTGTTTCTCCCTCCTACTGGTTGAAGGTGGAATTACAGCAGTTGTAAACAACCCTGCTGCAGCCGGCTGTAGCTAGTGCTAACAACAAGCTAACGCTAACACGAGCCAACTGATAATAACTGATAATAAATACGCCACAAATTAAAAAGATCCACACTGTTGGATAAAAAATGTTGGTACTTACAAGTCCAGTAGCAACAAAGCCAGGCCACCATCAGTCTGTGATTTCGTAGCCTCCTTCAGAACTAAAGAGTGTATAAATGAATCGGGAACAGACCAAATGAAAGAGAAACACAGGAATTAGAAATCAAGCGGGAACAAAAGCGGTGCTAAAATAAATTTGCCTGTAAAATTTTTATTCTTCATAAGGTTTTCTGTCAACTAAAAGCTGCTTTGAAGACCTTTCGTAACTGCAAATCAAGAGTCTTCAAATCGTAGGAGGTTTGTATGAAAGAGTGATCAGAACCAAACCTTTGCTGTCTCTCAGGTGTCGTGTCCTGTGAGAACCAGTACCCTCCCATCTCTGGGAGACAGCACGAGTTCCTCAGCTCAGGCCCAATGTGCCGCTATGCTGAAGACCTGCTGCCCATGCTCCAGATAATGGCAGGACCCAATGTTCACAAGTAAGATCTCCGCTGCTTGCTGTTGTAACGCAATGGTTTTATTGGCTTGCTTTAGATTTATTATAGCAGCTTGTTCATATTAAATACAACAAGGTGGGAAGATGCCCATATAAGGTTGCCTTTATAGCATTTTATTAAAGGGACTTTACGGAGTTTTGAATTTTTATGCTCGCGATTGCCCCCTCAGGCCAAAAGCGTAATGGCAGCTTCAATAGGAGGCTCGTGCACGAGACGCGCATGCTGTACGTGCACACTCCTTAACGAAAATAACAGCTGAGACAGTCCCACGTGTGTGTGTGTGTGTGTGTGTGTGTGTGTGTGTGTGTGTGTGTGTGTGTGTGTGTGTGTAGGGCCCGGAGGACAGAGGACAGGAGAACGCGCAGCTAATTAATTAAAGGTTTATGATGGGTCAGTCCTCCTGCATGCTCAGATCATTCCCTTCCCTTGCTTGAAAAATTGTTCCAAAATGAAAGTTGAACCCACAACTTTTTTATCTGTGAATTCAACGCCGTTCGGCGAGTCTCAAATAAAAATTTGGGCATCTTACTGTAAAAAAAAAATACCATTAATGTAAAAAAGAAACTCTAAATAAACTATGTTCACACCCAGAATCGAACCCAGGTCTCCTGCACGAGAGTCTGATGCCTAACTAGGTGAGCTAAAGAACCAACGACGTCTTTGGTATCTGTAAAATTTATATCCTTGATGACAGCTGAAACAACATTCAAAGAACAGTTCGGAGCGAAAATGGCTATTTTGTTGCTAATTTGCAGGAAATATCTAGAAGAAAGTAGCTAAGGGTCCTCAGAAATGTAGCTAGGTTCGTCACTAGGCGTTAGGAGCACTACCTCTCACTCTCTGCTGCTAAAGCTACGGATAGCAAATGCTACGGGCTATGCCTGAGCGTGAACGCGCATGAAGCAGCCTGCTCGACCCGAGCATCTCTCTTTTTCTATGATTTTACAGAAAAACAGGCAATCATAGTAAAAATGCCAGGGCTCATTCTACAGGACCAGGGCACTGCAGGAGAATGTATGAAGAAGAAATTTATTATTTCTATACATGTTTTGGCTGTCAAACTTCCATAATGCCCCTTTAAGGTCTGTAAATTCTGAAATTCAAATGTGGCTATTTCAGTGCAAGCATGAGGAAGTTTATAATGAGTTAGTATTTTTTCCAATGAATGAACTGCCATTTCATGGCAGGACTGCACAATATTAGGAAAACCTGCGATATGCGATAACAGTGATTAATACTGTGATGATGATATTATGTGCGATAAATAAAAACTTAACTCAGGAACAAAAATAATCAAAAACAAATAAATAAAAAAAAAGACAAAAATGAGAAAAGCAAAGGATGTGAGGAAGGGGAAAAAGAAAATGAACAAGAAAAGGCAATCAGTGGATCCCGGGAAAAGCAGAATCGGCAGAAAGAGCAGAGCAAAGCTAACTCAGGTGTTAGCTAACCATCAAAATTAAGTGCCGCAAAAAAAAACCCCATTGTGCTTCAGTTTGATTGACAGAATGCATTATGTGTAGCAAACATTTGCGTTGACCATTCATTGCGATATTTATCTGTTCTTTGCGATACGCGTATTGCACATGCTGATATCGCGATAATGATATATTTAAGATCTATTGTGCAGCCCTACCTCATGGGGAGACATTACAGTGAAATTGTGAGTACCTCTCCTATGAGGTGCAGTTTTCTTTAAAAAGCATCATGTACACCTGAACACGAAGAATAAAAACATGAACTACTGGGTGTACAAGAGAAAGGAATTTGATAAATCTACAATCTTAAAAAAAAAATAAAACCCTCAGAGGAATGAGTTCACACAGATGTGAATCATCTTCAGAGTTTGTCACTTTTATTGTTTGAATTGTAAATCCGTTAAGAGTGCACACAGATCAGGCTTGTTTGCGCGGACCTTGGCCTGATTACAGGACACACCCACCCGCAGTAAAAAGTGATAAAGCTGTGATGTCATTAGCACTCTAATAAGCTCCGTGTATGACTGTAGGTTGTCTTTAAACACGGAGGTGGACCTGAAGAAGCTGAGGTTTTTCTCCATCCCTCATGACGGCGGCTCTATGTACTCAAACCCTGTCAGCAAAGAGCTCTTGGATATTCAGAAGAAGGTCTCCACTTACTTTTGCCTCTATATTTGGCTAAACGCGTTCAGGAAATCTGCTTTTTTTTCACTGGTTTGGGGTTTTAATGTGATGCTCTGCAGGTGGTGGAGCATCTGGAGGCAGATCTGGGAGTGAAAGTCCAACAGTTGCATTTACCTGAGCTCCGCTACAGCACTGAGATCTGGGACACGTTCATGGTTCTTCCTGACAAGGATGGAAAAGTAGGTCCACCTGTGCTCCAGCACACTAGTGCCTGCTCAGATTTGTGAAATGTAGCTCTGTCATGAAAAAAGTTTCAAAGGATTTAAAATAATCCACCTGGAGACCGTAGTAATGTACCTTGTAGGATTAAATTAAAATTATAAATACAGTGGGGCAAAATTGTGCAAGTTCTCTCACTTAAAAAGATGAGAGGCCTGTAATTTTCATCATAGGTAGACCTCTAAGAGACAAAATGAGAAAATATATCCTGAAAATCAGATTCTCTGATTTTTAAAGAATTTATTTGCAATCTATGGTGGAAAACAAGAATTTGGTCTCCTAAAATCAATATTTCTGGGCTCTCGCAGACCTGTAACTTCTTCTATAATGGCACTTTAACATTTGGGTCCGTACGATCGGATTCGGTCGCGTAGGTTCAGGCTCGTACGGGCAGTTTTTATTCATATATGGTTCCCAAGTACTTCTCAAGAATGCAGAAATCCCTGAGCACAAGGGCAGCATTAAAGACACAGGAAAATCTGTGGTGTCCTAAAGGCGGGTGTGAGCTGTGTTGTTTTGGAGACTCTGAACCACATTATTTCATTAATTTGCTCCCTGTTCTCTCACTGATACTGCTGTGCATGTTCTCATTACCACTGCCGCAGCAGAGGAGGACAGAGTGAGGGACACACACACACACACTGCTCTCCTTTCATCATCCTTCCCACCGTCTGCCGCCGTGCCGGAGCAGGAGCTCCGTGCTACAGACGGCTGTTTATTGGACAGCAACCAGAATGAAAATGAATCGCGCATGTGGCAAGCCCTCGCTGGCTGATTGTACTCGCCAGTCGGAGTGAGTAGGCGAGAATTTCAGCCAGCCAATCGGTCTGTAGTGCCACCTCGATCCCACAGAGGAGGTCTGGAAAAAAGGGTTGGGACGGCCAGGAACATGCAAAGGTGACCCTGATTTGAACTAAACTAACCCTTCCGGGTCTGGTCTGTGCCAATCCAGATGTGCAACTATCAAAAGAGGCTCCTCTGTCCTCCACTTGTATTAAAGGCACCTGTTGGAACTTATAATCGGTATGAAAGACACCTGTCCACAACCTTAAACAGTCACAGTCCAAACTCCACTATGGCCAAGACCAACGAGCTGTCAAAGGACACCAGAAACAAATTTGTAGACCGCACCGGGATGGGAAGTCTGAATCAGCAATCGGTAAGCAGCTTGGTGTGAAGAAATCAACTGTGGGAGCAATTATTAGAAAGTAGAAGACCTATAAGACCACTGATAATCTTCCTCGATCAGAGAATGCAAAATCTCACCCTGCGTGGTCAAAATGATCACAAGAACGTTGAACAAAAATCCCCTAATAACAAGGTGGGACCTAGTGAATGACCTGCAGTGAGCTGCGACCAAAGCTACAAAGGCTACCATCAGTAACACGCTACGCTGCCAGGGACTCAAATCCTGCAGTGGCCATCTGGAGTTTGCTAGAGAGCGTCTGGATGATCCAGAAGAGGATTGGGAGAATGTCATATGGTCAGATGAAACAACAATAGAACTTTTGTTAAAAACTCAGCTTGTCTTGTTTGGAAGAGAAAGAAAGCTGTGTTGCATCCTAAGAAGCCCATACCTACTGTAATGCATGGAGGTGGAAACATCATGCTTTGGGGCTGTTTTTTTGCAAATGATAAATGACCCACACTTGTATAGCGCCTCTCAGAGTAAGGACTCCAAAGTGCTTTACACTACTGTGTATCATTCACCCATTCACACATGCAATCACACACTGATTGTGATGGGCTACAATGTAGCCACAGCTGCCCTGGGGCGCACTGACAGAGGCAAGGCTGCCGAGCACTGGCGCCACCAGTCCCTCCGACCACCACCAGCAAAGGGACCAGGACGACTGATCCGTGTAAAGGAAAGAATGAATGGGGCCATGTATCGTCAGATTTTGAGTGACAACCTCCTTCCATCAGCAAGGCCAGTGGAGATAAAATGTGGCTGGGTCTTTCAGCATGACAATGATCCAAAAAATACACCGCCTGGGTAATGAAGGACTGGCTTTGTAAGTTGCATTTCACCGTCCTGGAGTGGCCTAGCCAGTCTCCAGATTTCAACCCCATAAAAAAGTCTTTGGATGGAGTCGGAAGTCCGTGTTGCCCAGCAACAGCTCCAAAACATCACTGCTCTAGAGAAGACCTGCAAGGAGGAATGGGCCAAAATACCAGCAAGTGTGAAAACCTGGTGAAGACTTGTAGAAAAAGTTTGACCTCTGTTATTGCCAACAAAAGGTATATAACAAAGTACTGAGATGGACTTTTGTTCTTAGTTCTAAGCCTAGTGTGAGGAACAGCTAGCAGGCTTTGGGATGTGGATTGTAGGCTGCATAAGGCCATATGTGGGGATAAATCTGTCAGGTGCCTGGCTGTTCAGAGGTCTGTAGGTAGTCAGGAGCACTTTGAAACTGATTCAAAATCCTACAGGGAGCTAGTGTAGAGCCACATTGAAGTTCCTAGGGACACACCTTCAAGAGGACCTGAAGTGGACAACAAATACTTCAGCAACAGTCAAGAAAGCTCGGCAGAGGCTCTACTTCCTACAAGTGTTGAAGAGAAACCATCTTGAGGAGAGGCTGTTGGTGTCTTTTTATAGGGCTGCCATTGAATCAGTGCTGGGGTACTCCATTACCGTGTGGTTTGCAGCCTGTTCAGCAGCAGACAAGAAGGCCATGCAGAGGGTTCATCAGATCGTCGGAAAAAATAATCGGACGCCCACTGCTCACCCTAGAGAACATCGCCAGCCCCAGAGGTCTGAGTAGAGCTCAACAGATCATAGCAGACTCTTCTCATCCAGGACATTGCCATTTACAACTGCTCCCGTCAGGGAGACGTTTCAGGTCCCTGAGGTGCAGAACCAATAGACTGAAGGACAGCTTTTACCTGTGGGCAGTGAGATTTTTAAATGGTTCGATGTGATCACAGGGTGGGCCTCCTTCATTATGTTCTTTTAAGAGAAAGAGTTTGCCCCCCCCCCCCCCCCTCCACTGACTGACAGTGTTTTCAGGTATATTTACGGTTGATGTTTTTTAGCCAATTATATTTTTAATATCTTATTGATCATTTTAGTGTTCTTTGTAGTAAAGTTGTTTTTGATTATGTGGCTTTTACATGCGTTGTTTGTGGCACTGTGTCAGATGAGGGCCAAGTAATCTCGTTATGCTTTCTTTTGCATAAAGACAATAAATTCAATTCAATTCAGGGGTGTAGAATGTGTGATGTTGGTCTGCTGCTGCATTCTGAATGGCTTGAAGGCATGAGAGAGACGATTTTTTTAAGACTGGTTAAAGTAGACATTAAACATGATGCCACAAAGGCATGGGTTATTGTTTCCAGATCTGCAGTAGAAACCATTTTACGGTGTTTTCAGATGTTTCTCGTGAAAGAAACAGGAACAGGAGATGGACTTGATGAGTATAAATCCATCCATCAATCCATTTTTGGCCGCTTATCTGGGTTTGGGTTGTGGGGGCAGTACTCTAAGCAGGGAGGCCCAGACTACCCTCTCCCCAGCCACTTGGACCAGCTCCTCTGGGGGAATCCTAAGGCGTTCCCTGACCAGCCGTGAGACGTATTCTTTCCAGCGTGTCCTGGGTCTTCCTTTTGGCCTTCTCCTGGTTGGACGTGTCCGGAACACCTCACCAGGGAGGCGTCCAGGAGGCAGCCTTACCAGATGTTCGAGCCACCTCGACTGACTCCTCTCGATATGGGGAAGCAACAGGTCTACTCCGAGCCCCTCCCGGATGACTGAGTTTCTCACTCCCTATCTCTAAGGGAGAGCCCAGCCACCCTGAGGAGAAAACTCATTTTGGCTGCTTGTACTCATTCTCATTCTTTCGGTCACTACCCAAAGCTCGTGACCATAGGTGAGGGTAGGAATGTAGATCGACCGGTAAATCGAAAGCTTTGCCTTCAGGCGATCAGTTCTCTCTTCAACACGACAGATTGAACAACACCCACAGTACTGCAGATGCAGCACCAATCCACCTATCGATCTCACGCTCCAGTTTTCCCTCACTCGTGAACAAAGACCCTGAGATACTTAAACTCCTCTACTTGGGGCAGGACCTCGTGAATTGAATCTTAACTTGAAATCAAAGATAACTCCTAGGTTTCGTGGGCTAAGCTTGGCTTGTTGGCATTCAGAACAAGAAAGTGGCTGGACTATCAGTTACTGATCTACATCAGAGGACAGAGGTGGCCATACTGAAGCACATGTACAGCTGAATATTATGAACTTAGAAGTGATGTCTGAGAAATAATGAATGACGGTAGTTAAAGCCCAGCAAACGTGCCTGTTAGGGCCCCCGTGTGGCATCTTTCTGGGCAAAAACAAGGCCCACAAAGGATTGTCCACAGTAGGACCCACAGCTGTCGTGAAATGTAGGGCACATGCGGGCCCCATCATTTGGGGCCATGTAGGGGCCCAACAGGCTTTGGCCTGCATATGTGGCCCTTCATTGTGGGGACCTCTTGTGCCTTGCATGTCACGGCGGTACCCTTGCCTGCACAAGTGTGTTTCCCACTGTGGCCTCTTTCCTTGGAGCCCTCATGTGCCCCGCATTTCACGGCGGTGATCCCCACGTAATCATAACATCTCCCTCTGTTGCGCCATGGCGCAATCACCGTAGACGTCTACTGCAATACCATCAAGCGAGACATAACGAATGCTGCAAAATTCACGCAACGCCATGTCGGCATGGCGAGTTTATAAGACACACCGTAGTAGTAATGTTACACTAATTTTACAGCATGGTGTGTCTTGAAAAAATGGCTTATGCTGTATAAATCATTTAGTTTAATTTTCATGGTAATATAGAAATAAAATAATGGAGGTCCTAGAACAGAGCCTTGTGGGACCCCACAGTCCCTGAGGAAATGGTTTCAGCCTTCACTGAGAAACCTCAGTTTGAAAGATAATCAGAGAGCCTGTCTAATGTAGAACCAGAGATGGAAACCAGAAAATGTAGCCTGTTCAATAGGATGTTGTGATCCACTGTGTCCAAAGTCTCATTGAGGTCCAGCAGAACCACGATAGAGCCTTCCTGCTTCTGCAGCCATCAGATGATTGTAGACCTTTACCAGAGCAGTCTCTGTCCAGTGCTGCTTCAGGAAACATGACTGGAGAGGCTCTGAGAGCTTGCCATTAGAGAACCAGAATCTGAGATGATATCATGGACTTTACTGAAAAATTAATTGGCGAGTGTGTTGGTCAGCTTGTTGGTGGTTAACTGCCTCTCCGGTTAATAAGGCTAACAGGAAGCAGGTCTCTTAGTCACAGCCCTTATTGTAGTCTGCTGCCCAGAAATCCCCCTAATCTCCTTAGCTGCCAGCCTCTATACCACACAAACACACACACACACACACACACACACACACACACACACACACACACACACACACACACACACACACACACACACACACACACACATACCAAACCCGTGCAAGCCCAGCACTTCTGAAAACACGTCATTTCTTGTCAACAGAAGTTCCTCTAATTTAAACAATTTGCTTTATTTGTCCAACTAGAGTCGAGGCCTCTCTGTGTGGTTTTATCTTCAGTTTGACACTCTCTCTTGTTTACTCTGAAGCCCGTAGGTTAATCCCTTAAATTATTTTCACATCCTTGCAATGACTTCTTGGTGTGAAACAAGTGTTGGAACATTGAAGAAATGATCACGATTTCCACAAGCTTGGACTCATAAATGGATGCTAAATGTTTGTCTCCTCCTTCAGCCTCCTGTGGCCTTCACTGAGCTGATGGGGGAACCTGGTCGACCAAAGTGGCCGTTCTGGGAGCTGCTGAAATGGATGATGGGAAAATCGGACCATACGATGGCCGCCATCAGTAAGAAAAACAATTGTCTGACATTTGTTAGTGCTTCAGTTTTTAGATGTATGTCAAGCTGTGGCTGTCAGTAGCTAACCTGAGAACTGACTTGTTTTCTCTTCAGCCGTGGGCCTCATGGAAAAGACGCGCTTGTCTAAATCAACATCCTTGGCCATCCAGCAAAAAGAAAAGCTGCAGGAGGAGCTCGACAAGCTGCTCGCACATGACGGTGTTTTACTTTACCCCTCACACCCCAGAGTGGCACCCAAACACCACAACCCGCTCTTCAGACCTTTTGACTTCGCCTACACCGGTTAGTGACCCAGATTTAGCAAAAGATGCAGATTAAAGTGATCACGAACTTGGTTCTCTCATCCATCAGGTATCATGAACATCCTGGGGCTACCGGTGACCCAGTGTCCTCTGGGTCTGGGTGAGGAGGGCCTGCCTCTGGGGGTGCAGGTCGTCTCTGGAAAGCTGCAGGACCATCTGACCCTCGCTGTGGCTTGCTACTTGGAGAAGACGTTTGGAGGATGGAGGGACCCTGGAGCAAAATAATATCAATCACAGAGGATCTGCATTCCTGTCAGAGCAATGAATGTTCAAGTGGAGCAAATTTTTGCGCCAATAGGAATCTTTCATTTCATATTTCATCAGATAAGGAAAAGTGGAAAGTGTCACTTTAGCACAAGATTTGTGAATTTTTGCACTCAGATTACAGCTCAGGCTGAGCATTTGTTTCCACCTGGGTTTTTTATTCATTTAACCATCAAAAATATATATATTCTGCTCAGATTACAGTCGAATCATTTAGATATCAAATGTGAGCAGCACACATTTACTTACAATAACTGACCAGAACGCTTAAAAAGATTAAATTAAGACATCCACCGAGCCAAAAACAGGACAGCTGTGGCTGAAAGCGAGGATAAAAATGATCATGAATGTTTTATAACCGGTTTGATGTTGAAACTCATTTTAGTTAATAAAAAGTGGACTCACTGACCATGTAGTGATCTTTATTTCATTTTGGTCGCCTCTAATGATGAATATCATCACTGCTGTTGGGTTGAAAACATTTGACATAAAAATGCACGCAGCTGCTCTTTGCTACCTCAGCAGCACAAACACTCTCTCTGCTCCCTCAACCCCCTGGAGCCGGCTCACTCATGAGATGATTGGAAAAAAAAAATCAATTAAAGGGCAAGTAAAAACAAACAAAAATAAGTTCTCCATTTTGGTGGCGTAGTAAAAGGGAGAATCTTTCTCTCCTCGACAGCCTCTCAGAAGTGGATTTGGCCCAAATGTCAGCGAATACTCGTACGTGTGCCTAAACATGTTCTGGGTGGTGGACTGAGCCGGCGAAGCTCCTCAGGAGGAGTTTGTGATAGGTTTGTATTTCTTCAGACGAGTCCACTGTCCTGTTGAATAGTTCATTTCGAAGACTGTGTCCACCAGCATGGTGGTGCTGCCGGTGCCGTCCGCCTTGGGCAGAACCTCTGTGTGCTCGCTCAGCTTGATCTGGATGATGTCGCCCTGCTCTGGGCATGGGTTCTCTGCAGGAAACACAAGGAGGTTCACTTGATTTCCCGCTACAGACACGTGTAACACTGAGTGAAAAAGCTGTTTTCTCAGAAGGCACCACCAAGAAGCAGAAATAATGTAATTGCACCTTAAGCCCCTCTCCCTACTTCCGTGATTACAGCTGCAGGAGGCTGCAGAACCAGACATCTGCAACCACAGATGCTCATCCCGTGTGATAACACTGCTATCCTGGCATTTTTGCTGTCTGTACACACGTGTATCTTTTAGTGTTGGCTGGGTTAGCTGAATTGATATGAGCAGGGTCAGTCTTTTTTTAAGGTGGCGCAGCAGTACCTTTTCCACCAGGTTAAATGCCACATTACACTCCCTTTGCTGTTCATTTGAAAGCATAACCGCAATTACAGACATTTTATCTCTCGAGATGAAAACTATGGTCTGTGTTAGCCAACTGCTACATGGTATTGTGTACAAATTCCCCATCTACCTTAAATTGTGCAACTTCTGCTGTTGTCTGTGAAACAAAGAATACTGATATAGAAGCTTGTCGATTTGAAAACTGAGCCATTGTTTTTTCCATTTTAAATTCATCCCGAGAAAGAGATTTTCAAAGTAACGTTTTTTTGTTTTAAATGGTTGAATCCGATTTTTCCCACCGATTCTGATTTCCTGAATTATAATTTTATATAAAGACTTACCCCAGCTTTCCACTGGATGTGTAAACGGCGCGTAATTTAATACACGTTTTACACACAAAACGGTATCAAAATCGTTCCTCGCAGAAGATCGCAACAACCAGAGAACTGCAAGCTCACACGTGATTTCAACAAATCACGTGATAAGCAAACAGAAAGATGGCTGCATGTAGCCAAAGGTCTGGTTCGTTTTTTGTTCCGTTCACCTTGGCTACGGAGGGGTCACAGTTGGCACACATCTTTTATTGGTTAAGCAACTAGAAATCTGCATGTGACTTATTTTGAAAGTGTCCGGATGTTTTACGCGGCTTTCGTGTTTGGCTTCCTGTCTGGTCCTATCTGAACTACTTAGCTTGACACATTCTGGAAGCTTCATCGTCGTTCCCGGACCAGATTGGAGATGTAACTCCTCCAACGTGTCCTGGGTCGACCCGGGGGCCTCCTGCCGGCAGGACATGCCCGAAACACCTCCCCGGGGAGGCGTCCAGGAGGCATCCTGACCAGATGCCCAATCCACCTCAACTGACTCCTTTCAATCCGGAGGAGCAGCGGTTCTACTCCGAGTCCCTCCCGAATGTCCGAGCTCCTCACCCCATCTCTAAGGCTGAGCCCGGCCACCCTACGGAGGAAACTCATTTCGGCCGCTTGTATCCGCGATCTCGTTCTTTCGGTCATTACCCAAAGCTCATGACCATAGGTGAGGATTGGGACGTAGATCGACCGGTAAATCGAGAGCCTGGCTTTCTGGCTCAGCTCCCTCTTCACCACGACAGATCGGCTCAGCGTCCGCATCACTGCAGACGCCGAACCAATCCGCCTGTCGATCTCCCGATCCCTCCTACCCTCACTCGTGAACAAGACCCCGAGATACTCAAACTCCTCCACTTGACGTAGGACCTCTCTCTCGACCCGGAGTTGGCAAGCCACCCTTTCCTGGTCGAGAACCATGGTCTCAGATTTGGAGGTGCTGATCCTCATCCCAGCCGCTTCACACTCAACCGTGAACCTACCCAGCAAGAGCTGAAGGTCAGAGCTGGATGAAGCTAGGAGGACCACTTCATCCGCAAAAAGCAGAGACAAGATTCTCCTGCCACCAGACTGGACACACTCACCACGGCACAGTGGATTCTGGAAGCTTAACGTGCAAAAATTTATTCAAAGTAGGGGCTGCATGACTTAATTTTTTTTTTTAAGTCAACCATCAAGTAATGAAAATCAAGTCGACTGCTCCACAGCAGCGAAACGCATCAGACACAAATAAAAGACAGAAAACATCAAAGGAAATGAGCCGACATGAACGATCGCGTGTTAAATTAGTTTTTGAGGTGGCGACACCTGATTTGATAATGTTACTGTGGCCGTGCTCAGGACGCAGATGTCTGGAGCGCATCAACAATCAGAGCTTTGCATGCGCAAGCTGGTTAAGGTTAGGATGGGGGTGAGGGGAAGGTTAAATTGCGTAAAGGTCACAATCTGGTTAAATGTCCGTTTTACGGTGGGCGTCAGATACCGACCCTCTGGCACAGCGCGTCGTATCGGACGCGCAGGGGCTCATCACCTGCTGTCTTTTCCAAGGACTGCATCTTGTCGGTCATTATCACGTGGCAGCGACTAGTCTATGACAGGCATAACAAGTCACTACAGAGCAGTGAGGTCGACTAGTTGACTACTAGTTGACACAACCACTAATTCAAAGCGTTAGTTTAGTAGAGCCGCGCAAAGCTACGATTCTGGGGCGTGTCCAAAATGCGATGCCTTGTGCCTGCTGGAAACACACCCATCCACGATAACGATGGCTAATTGCTGCGTACTACTTTCTGTTATGTCCATAAGAAACATCACCATCTCTGCATCAGTCTAGGTACTTCTGCACACATACACGCCCGCTCATCTGTAGGTAAGTGGGCGTCTGGCACATTGACTAATGCTGAGCGGATCTCCATTCAAATTGCATTAGGCTCTATGGGACGGGGGACGAGGTTAGCAATAAATAAATAAAGATGTATTGGCTACATTATACCACAGTACAAGGTCAGACCATAACTTTTACAGATTTCTAAAAAAAAAAAAACAATCATACATCATTCCTGAAAGGGGGAAATCTTCAGATCTAACCTCACCTCTGGATCCAGCCATGAACCCCAGAATAAGGGCCTTCTCTGGTCTGGTGACCTTGTTGGCCGTTTTGAACATCTCCTGGGCGGCGTACATCTGGTCTCTCTGCAGAGCAGAAAACAGAAACGTCACTTCCACAAGTTTAAAAACCATCACCAACACGACTCTCTCTCCCTCCACTGTACCGTGAGTGAGAGGTTCTTTTTAGGCTGTGGCTGTGTGGGTGCTGGGGCGGGGGTGGCAGTCTGAGGGGTGCTGGGCGGCTGCGTGGGCGTCTCAGGCTGGCTGGCGGTTGCAGCTGCTGGGGGCCCATTGCTGGCTGGGGTGGAGGTCGGCGTACTGGGAGAAGTGGGGGTTGCAGGGTTTGCTGTGGTGCTGGCGTTGTACATGGGCGCCCTCTGTTTGTACTGGTTCGGTAAGGTGGTTCCAGCTCCAGGCCCCGTCGTGGGAGACTCCTCTGGCTGGCGAGCTGCCTGCAGCGCGTCCCGTCCCGAACCTCCAGCATTTGCTGAGAAGAAGAACAAAATGGTTCAGCGTAAGCAGGAAACAGATCTCTGTTCTCCTTTAAAAGGAACTCCAGCTATGAGGACGTGTGTGTCCTAATAAGCCACAAGTTTTCTGTTGTACCAAACTATGTTAGAAACACACAAAGTATTGCTGTTTATTTATAAATCTATAATATTTAGTACATTTTTTGACACGTAGGACGCCATGTTTTCCGCACGCAATGCGCTCTGGGGGCGATGACGTATACTGGTTGCACTTGGAAGAATAGCTGTTGACGCTAGTGTTTGTTTAAACGCTCACCGTATTAATAATGAAGTAAAATGCTGCATTGTGCTGCTTTTGGATGTAATTTCCAGTCAGAGAGCAACAAGGGGAGTGATGGGAGTTTACAGCTTTCCCAATGGCAACAAGAGGAGACAGCAGTGGGAAGATGCCTGTGGACGGACACAACTTCCCAAAGATCTGCAGCTGTGTTCCCAACATTGTTCTCCTGATGCATTTGAGGCTTATAGTCGACCACAACGACTTGAAGAGCTCACCAGAGCGGCTGGGTATAAGAGAAGGCTGAAACTAAATGCTTTCCCGACCATTTTCCCACACCAGGAGCCTAAATGCCCTCAGAGAGACGAGAGACGCTGGACTCTCCTGAGCCGACAACCCGCTCCTGCAGCTGCCGCTTCAGTCACGTTCAGCCAACCATCGGACACGCCACTCGTCACGGATGAAGCTGAACGTTCACCTCTCCCATCAGTAAAACAAGCAGTAAGTGTAGCAACACGGTGTTCTCCACATATAGAACATCTGCAGAAATGATTAAAGTGGTTTCGCTGAATATCCTGATCATCTATGAAGCACACGACAGCTCTGGATGCTAAAACTCTCCTAAATCATTCATAACTGAATAAGTTTGATCACACGATAGCTTACCGTTAACTTCTGCTGACACAAGTGTGAGCTCTTAAACACTCTCCCCCTCGGTTACCATGGAGACGCATTTGCCGCACACGCACCACCGGTTTTGTCCTGCTCTCGCTTCACCCCGCCCTTCCTGCTCTTCATGATGACGCTCGTTTAGTGAAACGTGGTCAGTGATGTCATCATTAGTGTTTCACTCTGGTTCAAAGTGAAAGGGCTGAACAGATGACAAGTTGATGTCGCTGAACAGCAGGGGTGGATTTAGGACTGAAGATCCGGGGCTTAGCACATGCACACACACGTGACACACACTAGTCAACATCATATATATCTTGTACCACATAATTTTTAATCTGAAGCTACATATTAAGCATATTCAGGGCAGAGTATTGTTCCTGTTAGTGTTTAGTGTGAGATGATAGTAAATATTCCCTTTCTTTCTCCAACAACTTTACCTGATAAGCAAACTTTAGGCAAACCAGCAGCATAACAAATATTTTCAAATAAGACTCACAAAACTGAGTCAACACCAGTATCATCAAAGCTGGGGTTCTGTCGTTGTACTTTTTGTCTAAAAAACGCCCTTATGTCCATCTTCACACGTGTTTCAGGCAAACTGTAGAAGAAGCCAGGCACTGTAGAACAGCGGTTCCCAAACATATTTAGCCGTGCACCCCCTTCTATGTCCCGACCATGTCAACACACCCCCCAGCCCCACATCAGGGATATATATATCAGACGTCAAGCTAGCCACTCGACAGACAGGGTTAAAAAATATGATCGACCTTTTTCCCCATCACTTTCATTTTTTAAATAGTAATTAATAAACATTCAGTACCATTACAATTTCCTTTGATTTAATTTTAAATCAATATTTAGAGTGCCCAGGTAGCACATAAACAATGCAATTTAACAGTTTTCTTAAAGCAGGAACGTTTAACCAGAGCTCTCTCCTTCCTTCTGCTCTGCGTAAACCTGAACTGATCACCTACTTGTGCGTAATCAAATGTCTGTAGAGGAAAAGATGGAAAAGCTATAGCCATGAGGTTCACTTTTGCCTCAGACCGACTTATTGCTGTTTTATGGTGTGGCTGAATCTGCGATCCGCTGCCACGCGGACTGGAACAACAAATGCTGCAGTAACATGAGTTGTAGTCAGGTTCATGAGGAGTCACTGGCTGGAGCGGACTCGATTTTAATACGTCGTCCCAAAATGGAAGCTAATATGACCTTGAATGAAAAATGTTGTTATAAAACCTCTTAAAAGTTTTTATCACGGAGGCAGCGCTCATTTCTGCCTTCAGTCTGACGGCACAGCGCGTGTGCTTATTGAATCTGTGTGTGTGTGTGTGCGGCACAGCTCCATGAGCCGCTCAAGTCACCGCGTCTCGTTATTGGCGCCATTTAAACCAATGTTGTAAAATGACTTCTGCCCAGCCCAGATGTGCTCACTTGTGCACCCGTGGGCCGTGCTTCCGCTGGAACGCGTCTGACCTCTGACAGACGCACTCTGAACTTCAGATCTTCAGCGCGCTGTTAATAGCCTGAATGGGAGTCATTTCTTGATTTATTTAGTTACATCCACAATGTTCTGTGTGTGAGGTTTACAATGTCAGAACACCTGCATGAGACAAGGTGTTAATTACAATCTGCCAGAATGACTCACCACCTTCAGATTTCTCCAACATTGTTAAAAATGATCAAATACGGAACATATCGGCGTGCGCAGGCCAGAGTGCTGAAGCTCGGAGCGCATTATTATTATGAAGCTAGGGCACATGTGGAGGACATGCGCGCGCACACACACACACACACACACACACACACACACACACACACACACACACACACACACACACACACACAAAATATACTTGTTTTCAATTACATTTATTGTGCCCACTTACTTTTTCTTAGGCCCACCCACAAATGAGTTTCTGCCTACGCTAATGGTGACACATGACAGACTTCTCTGAGCTCAGCAGCCATTACACTTTTCACCTCGCGCTCCCCCTAGTGGCAGCTCTCGCAACCCCAGGGGTGTGCGCACCACACTTAGAGAATCCCTGCTGCAGAAGAATCCGGCTGCTGAAGGGCTTCTTCTTCAGTGGTGGAGGCTCAGGCAGGCTGTATACAAACTACTGCCAGCTGCTCCCTCTCTGTTGGACTTTGGTACTGCATGTTACTTCCACATTTTAGATCCGGGGCTTTTCATAAAACATTCGGGGCTTGAGCCCAAGTAGCCGGGCCTAACCCCGGCCCTGCTCAACAGTCACTACAGGGTCCCAAAGCCGGCCGGTGCAACCATATGACGTCACTACCCAGAGTGCATTGCGACGCTAACAACAGCGGCGACCTACGAGTGAAACTATTTTTTACAAATGTTATTAAAATGAAGACGTTAAGGTTTTTTACACCACTTTAATATAACTGACACTAACATTTATCTTTAAGAACCACAAGGTTTTGTAACCTGGGTTCCTTTTAACACCCCACTAACCTGGCTGTGCCTCGGAGCTGGGAATGTAAGACGAGGAGGGAACCATGCTGGGTGTGGCTGGAAGGTAGCTGGTCGAAGGCAGAGGATTCTCGTTCAGAGCTCCCAGTTTCTGAAGCACAAAACCGAAAAGAAAAGGTCGTTTTTAAGGCAATAAGAAAATCTAACAGGGTGCAGGTGTAGGGTACCTGTGCAGAGACGAGGCCTGCGGCGTAGTCTGGTGTGGTGTTCTCCACCACCGCCTCTTCCTTGGCTGCTTTCTCCACAGCTTCTGTTTCTACACCCATGAGGTGAAATGTAAGATTGTTTCTATCGTGCTCAACACGTAAAAAATAGAGATTTGTAACTAGATTTACCCAAAGTCTTTCTTCTCCTTTTGGCTTCCCTTCCAGCTCCGACCATGTCCAACTCTGAAATATCTAAAAGCTAAAAAAAAAAAAAAAAAGCTTGAATAAAAACCTGCTCAAATTAATTACACAGGCAGAATATTACAGGAAACAAACCTTGACTCCTCTCTCCTTCCGTAGAGGGGTTCGCGGGGGAGCGATGGGTGTGCGGTTACTGGGAGGGCTGAACATACTGGGTGCTGTGGGGCTGCGGAACGGGGCCTTGGGAATCCCTTTGAGAGGAGCTGGGATGCAGATGGAGACGCACAAATGAACAACATCACGACTTTAGGAAAACCACGGAGCTAAATCCTGCTGTAACTCACTTGTCGTGTCGATCTTTTTCACCAGTCCCCTCCCTTTGGCGTGAAAAGGCACCCCGGCTGTCTTTTTGAGTTGCTGGGCCGTCTCCGTCGCTGCGGAGGACGCGACATCAGACCACTCGTTTGATGAATATAACTTCCGTTTTAATTATATCAGCAGAATTTCAAAATCACTCACATTTCTGGAGCAGTTCTGCTCTCAGCGTCGCACTCTTGGGCTTCCTCTTGAGCTGGAAATGCTTGACAGGGGGTGTGAGGGGTCCCACTAGAGTGGTGAGGGCACTCTTGTTCAGGTACTGACACTCCAGAGGAAGCATGGCCGATGCCTCGCACTCACTCACTGAGGAGAAGAGGTCAAAAACAGGACCGTAATTCACTAAAGTCAATTCATTTTAATAACATTTTAATAACTAGAGAACAAATGCCCGGGACATTTAGAGACCCAAATCACACAAAACTCATTTTATTTCTAGATTTTAAATCCACCATTATATAGTTGTATCATATGGGGTTGCTATTCACACTTTTCAAAGAGAGGGTCAACATAAAAAAACAGTCCGACCTTTCTCCCGGAGTTCTCCGAGAATATCCTGCACGTTTGGATTCTGCTCCTCCAAGTCCAGGTTAAGAGAGCCAGTCTCTGGGAAGGACTTGAGGATGTCTGCAACCATCAGCACCCAGGGCTCTGAATCCACCGTAGCCAGCTGGATGATCTCTGACAGGGCCTCCTTCATCTGGGAAAAGACAACATTTGCAGCATTCCAATTAATTTACAACTGGCAGGATTTTATTTAGGAGAGTCCCATTATGCATTTATTGAATTTTCTCTTGGACAACACTGACATTGCAGCAGACTTGATGCATTCATATCTTAAAATGGAAAAACTAATTTTCACAACTTGACCGGAGGGGTGTTTTTTGACTAATAGAAGGGGGAAGCAAGGCCATGGCAAAATTAGGAGGGGGAAAGTGGGGTCCGAGGTTGCGGTCAGGATGGCATTGGCTCACACTGGACCCCTTGTAGAACCACCCCTGCTGCACACCAACACATGGGCAGTTTGTTGATGAATCATGCGAGATGTTCTAATTTCAGACCTTACCACTAGATGCCAGCAACAGGTCCAAAATACCCAAATAAAGTTGTAATTTCCTTGAGTCTAAGCAAATGTAGACATATTGAAATTAAATTAGCATTGATTTGCATACAAGTGCTATAAACAAAATACAGTGAAATAAATACTCAAATATAAAAATATATATGTTTACTACTGTGTTATGTACCGTGCAGTTGTTGGAAACTAAATAAAACATGAGGGCAGAACATTTAATAGTTCAAACTGGGGGATAATAGCTTTCAGTTAAGACACTATTGAGTTTATCACATTTTGCAGTAAGATCATGAGGCGCGCTGTAGTTTGGCAGCTGATATGTCGGATTGAGAATGTTGGCACCGCCCTCCAGCCCTGCTAACTGCTGCGTCCTTTCCCTCATCGACCACAATGTCCGTGAGGAAGCCGTCAGGCTAACGTTACTCGCGCTAGCTGGTTAACCTCTGGTGGAAAATGGACTAACAAGTTAGCCATAAATCGGTTCTTTGTTTATGTGAATTCCCCACAGAATCCAGGCTGAGGTACAAACTTGGGAGAAAATACTGCAGAAAGTATATCAGGTTAGCTCGAGGTGTTAGCCGTCGTCGGTCACAGTTTCACACAGGACTTTTACTGTTGGACGCTCCAAGTGCTTTAATGCAGCGCAACTTAAACTATGGGGTATGTGCATTTCTTTGTTGCGAAGGAAATTTGCGAGCGCCTCTAACCTGTCGGTGTACAGAAAAAAATAGGTATAACGAACCCACCTCGTCCACCGTCCGCCTGGGAAGATGCAGCATCCCGAGCAGCAGTTTCAGCTTCACCGGCGGCGACAAGCTGGAAAAACACAACCGTATGTTGTCGATTACCGACACGGTGAGGAGAGAGGCTATGCTCGGAGGCGTCCACAGCTCGTCCGTGGATCCCAGTTTGTTGTGAAGCCACAGGCCGGTGTCGCTGTCCTTCATCGACGCCATCTTGGAAAAAGAAGTGTTTTGAGTTCGGGCATTTTAACAGGCTACCTAAGAAAACATCAGTTAGGACCCCGCCCACACGGGGGGGGGGGGGGGGGGGGGGGAGCGTAGCTATAAACCAAACACAAGATTAACGTAAGACACGTTTAAACTGTTTGTACAAAAATAAGCAATTTTAACACCGCATCTATTTATAACACTGCAGAAGTAATAGCTTTTTTTTGCTGCGGTCTGGTTTCAAAATACTTTTGATCTTAAATTGTTTATTATAAGTTATCAGAAAGTCCAACGTTTTTTTTAAGTTTATTTTCATTTATTCACAAATAAAAACAAAACACAAAACAGGTTTGCAAAAATGAAAAAGGAACAGAAAGAAGCAAAACTTATGTTATCTGTTCCTTTAACCAAAATAAATGCAAATGACAACAAAGTTATTATAGCTAAAAAAAATGTCTGGACATGTTACTGTTTTAACTTTGGCAAAAAATGGAGCGGAAACAAATACACACACACAAAAAATTTCTTAATGAAAGGAGAAAACAATGCAAATCAAAACACACAATAAAATAGCTATAAAAAATACAAAGTAGAACATACAATGTGTGTTTTCCTTTTCATTCTCTCCGCCTCATAAATACGTTTATCTCATAGCATCATATAAGCTAAGCAATTCATTTTTGATGAGTTTATTAAGGGTATATATTGTTTTGGTATTCTTGATTTTGTTACTTTTGAAATTGGTTATATGTAGTTTCCGAGATAAATCCTCATCAGGGATAAATCACGGCCTTAACTTTGGCTGTAGTAAATCTAAAATTGTAACATCTGAGAATAGATGTATTGCCTCTCTAGAAAAAAAATCAATTAAATGCAACATGATTTAACTAATTATGACATAAATGTGAGTAAGCAGTGTGTGGTTGTTTTGCTATATGTGCTCCAAAAAAGGTATCTTGCCTCTGGTGCAATGGGTTAGTGCATTCAACTGTTAACTGAAAGGTAGGTGGTTTGAGCCCACCCATGTGTCTTTTTCCTCGTGAAGAAGCAATAATCTTATGAATTTTTATACAAACACAACTTAAAGGGGCCATATCAAGGAAAGTCCACATTTTGGAGCTTTTTACCAAGAAATATTGTTATTTCCTCATAAGAAATATACCCAAACCTGTTTTGGGATGCATTCATGCATTTTCCTGTCTCAGCTGCTAATTTAGAGTTTTACTTTGAAAATCTTGAAACGCATCGATTGAAGCTACTTGCATAATCAGGCATTTCTCATCTCCCTGAATCTATTCTGATCTGAAACCTGCCTCCCCCCAAAGGTACCGAAGTCCGTAGGCGAAACCGCAGTACGACCAGACCGGTCTCGAGATGTCTCCAGGTCACCACAGTTGTTTGCGTCTTAGGAATAACTCTTAAGGAGTTGAAGTTGGTTCAGCTTTATTCTGAAGAAACCGTTTGTGGTCAGCTGTAGCATGCAACAGTTTTGACAGCTTGCCAAAAGATGCAATGGGAGCAGAGTTTCCCTCCGATGGCCAGTCAGAGTCACTGCACTACTCAGGAAGTGATGCAGTTTAAAAAATGGCCATTTTTCGGTTTACTGATAAATCTGTAAAAGGGTTTTGCCAACAATCTCAGATACACACCTCCCTCATATATGAAGATGCTGATTTTGTGGATAAGAAAATATCTATGTGCAGTGACGTTAATTCTAACTTCCGTCATGGAGATATGGTGAGTGTGTCTTGTCCAGTCAGTGCGCTGATTAAATATATGGGTCATATATTTGATTTCATCCTTATTAATCTTTCAATGTAATAATAATATTCATTTCAACATCAGTAATTTAAGCACAGATTAATCAACATTTCATTTAACCATATGATTAGTTACTCAAATTGTTCATCCATCTTGTTCTGTGAATAAAAACCAGTCTTAGATAAGAGTGAGCTTGTGAGGGACCTTGGCCAAGCAACAGTATCTTTCTTGCAGATTAATAGCACCAGTTAAGACTTGTGTCTCCAAATGGCCAGATACTGAAGAGGTCAGAATGTAGATGGAAAACTGACCATTCCAGGAGGCTACAGTCTTCACAGTCAACCTTGATTGCACTTTATTTTGAAATGCCACATCACAGCTTTATGAACTTTGGGGAGGATGTAGTACTCGATGTGTACTTTAAGACTGAGGTGGAATGATGTTGCAGAATCAGACAGTTTTTGAAAAATTGACCATTGAATATAGTCAAAATTGTTTTTATAGCCAAATTTGATTGCACTTTATTTTGAAATGCCACATCAGATCTTTTTGAAAATTGGGGAGGCTTTAGTACTCAATGTGTACTTTAAGATTAAGTGGAATGATGTTGCAGAGTCAGGCAGTTTTTGAAAAAGAAACCATTCAATATGATAAAAATTGTCTTCATAGTCAACACACACACACACACACACATTATACAAAAAGGAAATAGGGGTTGAACCAATAACGGGGTAAACATTCTGATTGTAAACAACTACCTCTGCACTGAAATTGCACACACCTGCTGCTATATGTTTTGTATATTATTAGCGATATTTACCTGTTTAATATTATCTTATTGTTAGGGATGTTTTTTGTTTTGTTATTGTTGTGCATCTGCACTTTATGTAAATGTCTACGCATGGGACAGTGTGAAACGTAATTTCAATTCCTTGTATGGCAAGCACATTCGAAGAATTGACAAATAAAGTATTCTATTCTATTCTAAACTCCTGCCTCGTATCATCCTGGGTTCTGCATTTTGGGTTCCAACATCCCTCCAAAACGTGACAGAATGGAACGACCAACCCAGGACCCAGCAGCAACCCCAGGTAAACGGGATCTGAGCCATGGGATATACAATTTTTATGGTGACCCGGACACCTGTCGGACTTTTGCCTTGGACTTTGCAAGATTTTATGGCCTGGACGCTTTGGACAAGGACTTGATTATTAATATGGTGCTCCACCTAAGGGGACGAGCCCTGCAATGGGCTAGCAGTTACCTTGAGCGACATCCTATAGATGAGCTGGACTTTTGGGATTTCACAGGCGATCTGCGAGACGCTTGCTGCAGCCCACAAGCTCCCCCTTCAGCTCCTACACTCCTGTCCCATCCTGAGTCGTTTCAGACTATCCAAACCAGTTTCATCTCCTTCTCCCCTGTTCCTGCCGACGTCCTCCTCGCACCTCCGAGGAGACGCACTCGCCACAGACGTTGCAATCACCAGCAGTCTCCAGAGGCCAGAGCTGAGTCACCAATATTAGAGGTCCCGAAGGTCGCTTCGCATCCTGCTCCGGCGGTGGTCCCGAAGGACGCATCGCGTCCTGCTCCGGCGGTGGTCCCGGAGGACGCATCGCATCCTGTCTCAGCGGTGGTCCTGGAGGACGCATCGCATCCTGTCTCGGCGGTGGTCCCGGAGGACGCATCGCATCCTGTCTCGGTGGTGGTCCCGGAGTACGCATCGCATCCAGACCAGCTCTTCCACGAGGCTCCGGCCCAGCCTGTCCAAGAGGCTCCGCCCAGTCCGGCCCAGCCTGTCCAAGGGGCTCCGCCCAGTCTGGCCCAGCCTGTCCAAAAGGCTCCGCCCAGTCCGGTGACTCGACGCCCCCAGGCCAGAAGTCGACGCCTCCTGTCTCAAGTCTCGACGTCCCCATCTCAGGTCTTGACGTCTCAAGTGTTCCAGTCCCCTCAAGTGTTCCGGTCTCCAGAGACTCGTCCGCTGAAGACCCTTCCTCGCCCTCCTCCTCCAAAGCCCCCGATCCCGAGACTTGCCCGGCCCCACCTCCTGGTTCCCCGTCGCCGGCCCCCGAGACTTCTCTGGTCCCGCCTCCTGGTTCCCCGTCGCCGGCCCCCCTGGTCCCTCCTCGCCCGCCCTTGTGGGTTATTTTTTGTTTGGTCCCTCCTCTCCCGCCCTGTGGTCTCTCATGTCCTGTTTTGTCTTTGTCTTTTGTTTGTGATTTTGTCTTGTTCTGGTTTTGTGTGTCTGGTATCCGCCCTTGTGGGGGGTAGTGTCATGTTCTGTGTCCCTTTGTTCCCCAGATCCTCCAGTATTTTTATTTTATTTTATTTTTTACCGTGTCCTGTCTGGCTTTGAAGCAAACAGAATTGATGTCTGAATGCTGGTAACAAGCCTTACAGATTTACTCTCAGGTGGAGCATCAAAGCTTCTGCTTTTAATGTCACTCCTGATACTTAAAACTTTACTGTTATTGTTTTTGAATGCTTTGTAATTCCGACCACACATGGAGACAGAGGTGAAAGAGAAAGGAAAAGACAAAAGGTGGGGAGGGGGGTGGGGGGGTGGGGGGTCCACAAAAATAAACAATAATGAACAAGAGTCTGCTTCTAGACCTGCAGAAAAAGACAAAAAAAAAAGCAAAAGTCCCAGAGATCCAGGCGCTGCCCCAGCACACAGGAACCCCAAGGAGACTGCAACCAGAAAGGCCCCCGCCCCCCTCGAGAGGCACAGAGGATCGCCCCGGGGGGCTACAACCAGCAGCCGGCAGAGTCCCGGGAGATATTAGCGGGGAGCCCACAGGCCCGCCCGCAGCCTCCCAACCCCTAGCCGGCCGAGCCCAGGACCCAGGGGTGACCACCCCCGCCGGGGACCCAGCAAAGCCCAGGGACCCAGACCCCACCAGGCAGCCAACGGGATTGATCAGGCAGATGCCAAAAATCTTAAACCCTCAGACCCGGTTGCCACAAACACTCAGGCAGACCAAGGCATAACCCCCCACACCAGGTGTGGCAGGGGGAGGGGGGACAAAGATCTATATAATCAAAAGAAGTTCCAGGAGAGGGGAGGAGTCAAAGCCCCCACCTGACATATACAGTCATACACAAACACAGTCACACACTCCCTCCCTCATGCTCACACATGCACATACAACCCAAGACTTACAAAAGCGCACGTCGGACACCCACTCATGCTCCCCATACACACCCTATTCACTCTGGTCCCGGTACTGCTGCACATTGGGTACAACCATCACCGGTAACCAGAGTTTGACCCTTTCTGCTGGGGTGCT